GAGGGGGGGGTGGTGGGTGTCGTTGCTGTTGCTGAAGCGGGTGAAGGAGTCTGTGGCGTGGTTGGCTTTGGGGTCATTCCAGTAGCGGCTGTTGTAGGTGTTGGAGGAGGTGAGGGTGTCGTTCTCTGATGAGGATGCATCGGCATGGAATGTCTTGGTGGTGGAGGAGCATTTGGGTGGCAGGTCGTCCTCCCTGGAAAGAAGAGGGTGTGAGGGCACATGGAGGATGCTGCCCCTACTTGCCCAACACCCCTCCCTCTCGCCACACTCTGCTGGGGTCAACGCCATCAATTCCAGGTGAAGGGCAGCACCAACATGAACCAACATTGCTCCTCGGCCCGTTTGTTCATCCCTCTGGGACCCACCTCTGTGCACATTAATTGCTCCATGTGCTGACCACTGAGGCAAATGACCCACACTCATGTGTCTAGGGGGGCAAAAACAGTGATTGTCACAGCCACTGGTACTTCGCAGGTAGTCAGTATGACTGTACGACCAATGAAGTTCACCCTCAGCGGAGCTGGAGGAAGCTACCAGGGGGAAATACTGTGGCTGTAACACCACAGAAGATCAAAGTTGTACCTCCAGAGCCTTTCAGCTATCACTGTCTGGTATTGTGGGTCAGGATCCCCACCACATCACTCTCTTACAGAGCTAACAACATCAAGTCAAAGCTCTCAATAAAGGCAATACTGAAAACAAAATCTGTCACTACCACTCCTCATTTGCTCCCGCCGCTTTCTGAACATACATGGACATCTTCCCCTGGCCCAGGGGAACACATCTGGGATTAGCAAGAGTGAGATTTCTGATTGCCTTCCTGCCAGCTGCTGCTTTTGCTGGGCAATCACAGGTCTCCTGCCACCAGCTTTCCCTGACCCTTACCTTATCTCATTGGGAATCTCCTCCTCTTCTTCTTCTTTGTGTTTATTTTTCCAGTAGAACAGTGCCACAGCCACCAACACAATGCAAACAACGAGCACAACTGCGCCTGTGGCCACCGCTCCTGCAATCAGGCCAATACTCCGGGGGTGGGCTGTGGAGGCAATCGAACAGAAAATGGAAAAGAAATGAGGGCTGGGCTGTGGCCATCCATGAGCATTTGAAGCTGCGGTGGCTTGGGAAGGGGGAAGGCAACTTCCCCATTCCAGGGCACAAGGATCTTCTCATAGAGAGGCACATGGTGGCTCACAGCAAACATGGTTACATACTTTACTGTCAGAAGACAGAAGCAGGTGGCCAAGCCTTCCTCAGCAAAATACTTACGTGCAATGACTTGCAGGTCCAGAAGGCAAGTGCTGGTTCCAATGGCATTTGAAGCCACACATTGGTAAAGACCTGAGGACACAGTGCTGATATTTCGGAGAGTGACAGTGCCCTGGACTTGGTCTAGTCAGAGAGAAAAGAAGGATTTAAATCCCTCCCCCCCTTGAGGAAAATCATGAAAAGGCAAAGCCAGCAAATGGAGAATTCTGGTGTGAGACTCTTAAGAGAGAAATAAATTAGGAAATAACCTTGAGATGGAAGCGTTGTGCGCGCACACGCTCACACGCACACACAGAGATAAGATTAGGTCTTAAGAAGCTTACACTAGAAGTTTCTTTTTCTACTTATAGATGAATTTCTGCAAATGAAAGCTTGGGACTCTCAGCACTGTATGAGAAAAGGGACGAAAGAAGAGACATGCAATTACCTCTATGCAGATCTACCTGCTAAATTCAATCCTGCTCTGCAGAACCCCTACTCTCCCATCTCTGGGCTCCCCACCCCTTTCTCTTCCCCTCATTCCTGAATTATGTAAAAGCAGAATGTTTGCATAATCTTAAAATACAGTGAGATAAAGGGTAAAAGTACAGCTGTCACTACTTGGCCAGGATGCCTAGGCTAAGAACTCTTATGGATGTTACTTGGGGCTGGGCAACACCAAGTCTGATCAGAGCCTTGCTTTTACACACATCTGAAAGGCAGCTCTGGCAGTACCTTATCGGACAACAGTGTGAGAAGCTGGCAGTATTTTCCTGGGATGATTCTGTCTCCCTTCTCCCAGTTTCCAATCTATCAGTCATTCATTTGGTTTAAAAAGAAGGTGAGTTGGTGGCTGAAATCTCCAGCCACATGCCAACATCTGGCAACCATGTTCTCTCCTTCCCATTCAACCAGACTCTTGTTCCTCAATGGGGAACATGTTTCTGTACCAAAAAAGCCATGACAACCTAAGTGGCCACTGGAGGGTGCCTAGTCCACCATGGGCTCTAGGAATCTTTGTTCCAATAAAGTGACCATGCAAGTGATGGCAGACACTCAATGAACCATGCCACGTCTGGCGGCTCAAACAAAGGAAAGCCCACGTTGTCACCTGGGAAATAAGAGGATAATCAACAGAACAAGCACCTTGTGTGGCAGTTGGGGGCAACTTGGGAACATTGTCCAGTTTCTCCCAGAGGTACGTTGGCCGGGGAATGCCTTCTTCCGAGCTGCAGGTCAGTGTGATATCGCTGCCCACGTCCAGGGACCCCTGGATTCTGCAAAGTGGGGCAGAAGGAGGAACTGCGAGAGAAGAGGAGAAGGTGACAGCAAATGAGGAAATATGACCAAACAGTGGACACACGCTACTGGGGAAAGCGAGGACCCTGGCATGAACTGACAAGGGGACAAGAGGGAGGCAGCAGACAAGAACTCATGAAGGTTTGGGGGTGACAGTTCACAAAGATTCCTGACCCACAGCCCATCAAGGTTACAGACTACTGCTGACCTTCACAGGGTCAAGTTCTCTTAGATTCCTCCCTAGAGAAAACAAAGGTGAATACTCCTGTCTCTGAGACAGCAAAGGTGGTGAGAGCTAACAGAGTTGCAGACAGAATTTGCTGTAATTGGGTTTTTCTTTCATATCTCTATAGTGGCAGACACTCTAAAGTATTTAACATCCTAGGGAGCATCCAGTACTAATTGCTTTTGTGAAGAGGAAGCAAAGATCTAAAGTCATTCTCTTCTCCTGTTGCTATGCACAAAACTCTTATGGTCCCTTCACCTCTCCAGGATGCCCTCATACTTTATTCATGCTTTTTTGCAACTCCACATCACATTGCTGTCACAAAAGCTTTCTCTCTACCATATTTTAAAACTCCATTATATGTTACCTGCATATGAAAGCTATGTGCCCTACAGACTCCCACAATACCCACAAGGCAGCCCACCCCTCACCACAGGATGTCCACGGGCTCCAATGTATACAATACCATATTGTTCTGCTATGATGCACTAACATGCAGGGGAGCCCCTTGTCCCTCTTCCTCGCCTCTCCCCCATAATCCAAATAAACACACCCAAGACAGTAAGTCCAATGACTCCAATATTCCTGACGCCTCGGTCGGGAAGATTGTTGACCAAGCACTGGTATGTGCCAGTATCCGACAGCTGAGTGTTGTTGATGAAGATGGAGGCACTGGTGGTTGGCATTGTCACAGCAAACCCCACTCGCCCATAGAACTGAGGTGCACCACCAAAGATCTGACCTCCTTGGTAGAGAATAACCTGGAAAATAAAGGAAGGCTCAAACAACACTTTGCAGGAGCTGAGCAAGGAGGAAGAACAGCAAGCAAAACATGGGCTTCCAGAGACAAAGAACCAATTCTTTAAGCATCTCTCAATTCTCAGACCTCAATATACAGCTGTCCCAGGCAGACAACTCTGCACCCTAGCAGACTTGTTTTCTCTAAAAGCAGAACACACTCTGTAGCTTGTTTTATGTCAATAAAATGCTCACAGAGGTAACAGACCAGATAGATACCCAAGTCTTCTGGCATAGCCGAATTGGCAATACCAGCCTGCCTGCTTCATATAATAGTCATTACCTGTCTGGACAGGATTGATTCAAAGAATCGGAGACTCTCTGCAGGCCACTGAGTACTTTGCTGGAAAGCATCTCCCAGGTGAGCAGTATCATTCTGAGTCTCAGGCAGTAAGATACTGCCATGCTTTGACACTGCTTACTGAAGATCATTGGGCTGAACTGAATGACAGGCTATGCAACCCCTGAACCTGCACAGCCTCTACCAGTCAGATGGCTTGTATAGCAGTCTGTACTCAGACCAAGTCCCTGAGGAGCCAAGCACTCTTCCATGCAGGTTCTCACAACTGACTACCAAATGTGATGGGGGCAGTGTGACCCAAGACAGATGCATTTCAGAGCAATGGCATTCTTATGCTGTCAGAGTAAGTGGGCAAAACCTAGGCTAACAGATCTCAGGTTATGATTCCTGTGCTCACCACGACAGACTCTCACTTGCGAATGTTCCTAAGAATGCACTTACATAAGCAACAGACAGTGAAAAACTAAGAGGGGAAGTAACAGGGGAGAGGAGTCTTTGACAGGCCATGTGTTCTGGGCACATTTTACACATTTTACATAGATTTCACAAGTTTAAGCCTGCAGCTGTTCCCAGATCCTCAAAAGCCCATACCCAGAGCACCAAAACCTGGATTACATCTCCCATGCTCTTTTGAATACGCAAACCGCCAGAGATCCAGAGCAGCCATACAGTATCACGTGCACCTGCCCCAAATGCACAACCAGCCAAGGACACAATGCGCATCAGTTAACAAAGCATTGAAGAAATCAGATTCATGTATGATCCAGAGGGCATGTTCAGCAATGAAGGGAATGTTCTAGGACAACCAGAGACTCAGCATTGTAAAGGGACTACATCCAGATCAGTGTGAAAAATGTGAGGAAAAAGAAAGCCTCAAAGAAATGCATGCTCTCGTGAGAAAGGACCTACCTGTTGAGGCTGGTTGGCGTTAGAAAGAGGAATGACCATCCAGATGACATTAAGGTTAGTGAGAGCAGCGTTAGTGGTGAAGGTGCAGGGCAATACTGCTGTCTGGCCTCGGGCTACCTGGATACTCCCTGGACTGACTGACACCTCCAAAGGACACACCAGACCTGGAGAGAGAAGGACACTCAGTTCAAGCATTTCAGGAGAAGGACACCCAGTTCAAGCATTTAAGGTGGCCCCATACATATGCAGGTCATTACAACAGCATCCTGTTGTTACACAACTGTCCCTTACCAGTTACTTCAGGCTAAAAAGAATTATACTCTTCCTTCAACAGATCAGGCTGCTCTCATGCAGACCTTTTTCATAGGCAAATGCAAATAGGCAGCCCTTTTCAGTGAGAGCACTCTAGTTTCAGAGCCTCTGAAAACAACAGGTTTTGTTTTGGCAATGGATAAAGAGCCAAAAGAGCAGCCAAGCTGTGTCTAAAAGACAATGAAATATGCTTTCTAACCCATCAGCCTTAATGATACCCAACATCACTGAAACAGAAGAGGAAACTGCATTCTAAAAGTCTTCACCAAGGGGTAAGAAGAAAAAACATGCATCATTAAAGAAGAAACGCAGTTCTCCCCCAACTTCTACCCCTCATGAAGTCCAGCATAAGCATAAATATTTTAGTGCTATTTTTAATTTAAAGGGTTAAAAATCTAAATCTTTGTCAGTCCAGATATTTCTATCTAGCTGGTGAAAAATGACTACTGATAATGGAGGATCTCGTCAAATCCAATTTATTTTCCAGCATTTCCACCATTCATTTCTTTGCATTCCACAGTCTGGACAGGACTCAAAGCCTGATAAGCCCCAGCTTCCCAGCGCACCAGCTCAAGGCTGCGGTTTTTAGACTGCAAGTCACACAGGGAAATATCTCCGTTCCTACTGCCCAAAACTTGTCAAATGTAACTAACCAAGAAGTCACCACCACCATTTTGAGTAGCGCTAAAATTCTTTACACCATTTTTCCTCACAAAATCAAAATATTGACTACAAAAAACATCTCTCCGTATGACAGCTCACTATCTTCTTGTTCAGCTCATGTGGGAGGCTACTGGAGGAGAAGGCAAGCAGTTTTCAAGCTCCAAGGCAATATCAGAATATTTCCAGCACCAAGCTGTAGTCTGGGGACCGTTCTATTCTCTTGATGACTCCAGGGAGGGCTGCCAGCAAAGTTTCTATTTTCTTGCCAAGAGACACTAGTTTGCTGAAGGTGAAATGCTCCATGAGAATAGATTTTTAACTGAACCATGAAGAAATCAAACAGGCTAATTTCTGAGAAAAACGTGAGCAGTCTCCTGCATGCTAGTCTGCTGGGATCCTTCTCAGTCTACCTGATGGAGAGATGGGGTGCTCGGAGCCTGGAAGTGCTGAGTTTCAGATGCTACAGACTCAAAGTTTCTAGCACCTGAACAGCCTATAATGAGTTCCTGGGTTTGGACTGACTGGTCTGGACCTGCAATACTCCAGGTCCTTGCAAATCTTCAGCAACCTCCTCAGGACTTCCGTCCCTCCTCCATATCTCCCACCTCCAAAACCCCAGGTAGTTTGGGAAGACTCAGGAGTGCTTCAGAACAGAGCCAGACAAAATGCCATTTTAATCTCTCCAAGTGAAATTCATGAGTTTCTTACTTTGCAGGAAAAAACCCAACAAAACTCAAGTCTGTCTTTGCTGACAGTCTTGGAACATATTTAAAAATATGGAGCTTTTTGGAAATTCCTAGGGCAACAGTTCATCTCTGATGCTAACATCTCAGAGAATTAGGTGCCTGAATGAGGAACAGCTGGTGAAAGTTTAATCCACCAATCTCCTATGCAGGGCAGTCAACAGCAAGCGGAAGTAAATAATCTAAAGAGCCAGTAATAAGCATCACATTTATTACAAGGAATCTGCCTTCCAATTGCATCTGGGGTCAACAGACTGGGAATGGTTTTGGACTTCTCATTTGCTTATGGCTGACCAGGCAGTGGCAGTAGCCCAAAAACCAGAATTGATCCATGTCAACTTTGGAGATGTTTCTTACTGGACATGACCCTAACAAGTGATCATCTCTTCTGCAAGCCTAAATTTGAAGACTACCTTGGCATGACTACTCATCTAGTCTAGCATCATCCATGTACTAAACATTGTGCAGCGAGTCACAATAAGTTGGACATTTACTGGATTAATCTCTCTCTCCAACATGGTGCAGAAAGCTCTTCTGCCATGTTCAGTGCAGATTTAATGAGAGGTTCTCCATGAGAGGAAAACCAACTAATCATCTGATTTGGAATAGCAACACGGTTTCTTTAGCCCTGTCTCTTGCCCCCTCCACTTTCCCCTTCAAAAAAAAGCCCACACATTCAAATTGTTGTCATTCAGGAAAAATAACATGTAAGTGTGAGTATTTGCTAATGACAAATTTACTGAAAGTTAGAGTTTACAGTTTGCATTGCAGGATTAGTTACATCAATCACTCAGTCATCAAGATGATCTGATTTTCATACCTAACCACCCTCTTGCTACTTCTACTACTTACTATTAGTTGACTGTATACATCTTGAAGAATAAAAAAACCTACTAAAATAAAGGATGCATAATTTCTTCATTGTAAAAATCATTTTCGATACATTTCAGAATTTCCCAATCTATTTATAAAGAATTTAAAACAGGAAAGAAAACATACGATATTCCCTTTGCTCTGCCTGTGTCCCACTCTCCCCATGCAGCACCCCACAGCCTCTGTGACCTCCTCCCCCTACAGCACCCTTTTTAATTTGAATGCCATGGAGTCGTTTCAGGGGAGGCACTAAGAGCTGATGTCCCCATCCATTTCTCTTGCCGAGGTGAGCTGCTTTGAACCTGGGCATGCAAGATGCACACCCACCTCCCACCATGCTGTCCTTTGTCTCGTTAAACCACCAGGCAAGCCAGCTCCTCAGACTTGCCTTTGCCTCACACATCCCAGGGCCTGTCAGCTGGTCTTTGGCCCAGGATGCATACGAGGCAGGCAGCACTTAGACAAGGACTCATTTTGTTAAGCTAAGAGGCACCTGCAGGGCTACAGCTGGGGAAAACACACACAACCACTTCTGACAAGTAAGCTTAAACAAGGCGACAGGGGAGTCAGGAGAGCAAATGTAGGCGAAGTCCTCTTCCACCAGCATAAACAGGGAGGTAGGCTGGTGTGTTAGCACAGCACCAGGGGGGCATTACTACAACGCGACTCCTCTCCCAGGGAGACAGCTGAAAGAGCAAAGATCAAATCCTCTTCAGAAAATACAGCATCTTTTTTCATATCTCAGGCTACTAGAAAATGTAACACACTTATTCATGCACTTGCCTGTTTATGCAAGCACCTACATGACTGCATCCTTCCACACCAATACTCATGGCCCAAAACACAGGTGGATGAACACAGACACATATGCTTATAAACCTGCATGCCCAGGAAGACATCTAGTAGGAAAACTCAACCAAATGATACATGTTTAAACATTTCAAAATTAGGAGTTGCAAAAATGTGTCTTTGCATTAATGGAAAAGGAGGGAGGTGGGGAGGAGAGGGAGGAAGAGATTTCAAATTCAGCATATCTGTTGGGATAAGGCTTTCTCAGTGCAGCCTAAGGAATGAGGACTTGAATTCCCTTGGGTAGATATAAATGCAAATACAGATATATACACACACATACAGCCCAGTCTACTAAGTCAAATTACACACAAGAGGTCAGAAAAATCAAGCAAAGGATGTTGTAAAGGGTCTCCTTTTGAAAAGGTACACAATCCAGATGTTTTCTAAGCATTCAGAGAAGTTTAATGACTTCTGAGAGACAACGAGAATTGATCACCACCAAATCCTCCCTTAGAATTGGATTACAATAGCCATTACATCCTCTCTTGTGTGTGCAGTTTTCTCCTTATTTAGTAATGAAGTATCCCTGTAAGCAGCATGCCTGCAGAAGAGCAGGTACACTACTGTCAGCAGAAAGAGGAACGGGTCCTTCATGTACGTAGGACACTTTGATCTTAGCTTGATTCGACAAACAGCTTTCTCCTTTGATCACGATGCAGTGAGCTCCCAACACTAATTAGAACAGATGCTCTTTTTTTTTTTTTCCCCTATCAGGGAACCAGGCAGTAAAAAGATGTTTTGGCTACAGAGGCTCTTTTAGAGTTTCTTCATGTTTCCAGGACCAAGCAATTATTCTGGCAACAGATCAGTCTGATTTCACTTTTGATGGGTCACTACTGGTTTTCCAAGTAGCACACTCAGCTGCCTCCCCTGCATTCATGAGTGAGTCCACGTAGATAGTTCATGCAGCGTGACACAAGCATGTAGGGCCCAGTCCTGCAACCAGCATTTGCCTCCCTGCTGGATATGAGGAGGAGGCAGATGTTGCCACATGTTTGCTAGCTGCCCTAAAAGGGCTACAAGCCCAAGAGGCTTCAGAATATACCAGATGTAGCAAAGTTGAAAGATATGGGCACATCTCAGCACTTTGACTCATACCAAGTTGACTGAAAATGTTCCCAGCTCTCGCTCACTGCCACACCTCTCTGCCAGAGATCACCAGCAAGACCAGCAAATCACCTCAGCTGACAGCCCAATGGGTGAAATGAGGAGTCCCACCACCTTCACTTCACACCAATAGGCCAGATCGTAACATGAGCAGCTGATGCACAATCACCAGTCCATATCACGATGATGACAGGTGGTCTCAGACCACAAGAGCTTCAGAGGCTGTGATTTCAGGAGGCACTGTGGTCATGCTGTTGGAAGTTGTGCTAAGGGCACATCTTCCTCTACTGCTGGATCATCCTCAGCATCTGGTTATCAGAGGCAACCATGCTCAGCGAGATATCTGGGTATCACTGGCTGGGTTGCAGTACAGTGTATAGAGAGGGTCTCCCCCACTGTATTTAGCTTAGCAGCGTTCATCTAGCAGGACCACAGGACAATAGAAGTTTACTCAGAGTGTCATTCATAACATGAAAGTCAAGCTCCCGCCCTGCCTTACCTTCTGGAGGACACTCTGTACTTCGCAAGTCCCCCCAAGAACACTTGTCAAGTCAGCAGCATTTGGCACCTGCTAGGAGCAACCTCCTGATACTCAGTGGCGTGGGAGGCTGGGCTAGGATGACTTTGCATACGCAGAGGCCAGGGTACAGGTTCACTCCGCAGTGCTGGCAAGCCAGGGAAGCAAATGGCCAGGGGACAAAGGAGGGAAGGAGGTGTGAAAGGGATGAAAAAACCTCTGCTGCGTGCCTTCTGCATCTCCAGATCTCCAGAGAAAATGTGCAGAAATGTGTGTGGCTGGGGGGGAAATGAGAATAAAACTTCAGGCTATATCAGCTTGCATCCAAAATCCATGGAATGATTCTGCCCATCCCAGTGCAATTGGCAATCTTCTTGCGGTGTGCTGGGGAAGATGCCTTTGGCAGTATGGCATTTTGGGTCCCTCGTTAGAGAGGCAAAGATGAGGTCACTCAAAAGTTTCAAGAACAGGGTAGGAACAAAATGTTCAACCTGGCGACTGCAGGCAGCGGAGGGAGAAACTGCAGAGCAGTCTTTTTCCTGAGATGAAAGGAAAACACAAGTCGCTGTGCCTTTGGCCAGCCTCACATCTCTGAGTCTGGGACCAAAGCTGCCTTCTGTGCTAAAGAAGAGAAATCTTCCACCCCAAATGATCTGAGTTACCCTGCCAATGCAACACACTGAGCAGCAGCAAAACCCACAGCCCAGGAAGGAGCAACTCACAGCTGGAGGAGACAGCAACAGATGCAGGGAGTACTTCTGCCACAGGACTTCTTAGTGCAGCAACCATTCAAAAGCCCCTGAAGGAGCCTAATTTGCAGTTATAAGCACTGATAACACTGAAATTATCCAGCATGATGTGACAGCACCTAAACAGGCTGTGCAACAAGCTGTCTGAATACTGGTCTTGCCCATTCTCACCAGGAGCAGAGTATCTTCCTGTCAATCTAGGTGTGCTACAGCTGCTAGGTCAGAATCTATCTAACCAAAAGCAGTATTTACCCAGCCTGGTGTCTGAAGGCAGCTTGCAGTAGACTCCATTCTGCTTGTGGAACCAGCATCACCAAGCACTCCAAAGTAGCAGAAGTCTGAGTTAATGCCCACTGTCTTGGTAGAGACCTCCTTGGAACATTTATACTGGGAGCTGGGAACAATAGTGAGAAGAAGGGAGGGTTCCACCACACTATAGCCCTTTTGCCAGCTCACAGAAAGGAGAAGGCAAACTTTGGTCTAGAAACCAAAGTGATTGCCTCTGTGGCCCAGTTTGTGGGCACAAGTTATACAGGTGCTACAGGAAATCTTCCTGCAAGGCATACTGAGGACACCCAAGAAGAAGTCACTCTTCTGTCAGAAAAGAGTGACAGAGACTTTCTAGCATAGGTCCTGCTCAAGACACAGTCAACGCTGCCTAACCCACTCCCAACAGAAGTTTGTCTAATTTAAAGTTCCAGACAATGTCTGTATCGGGCAGCACATCTTAGCAGTCTGGTCCAGTACTCAGCAGCCCCTGCTTTCTTGTAAGCCCCAGAGCTCTCACCAGTGGTGCTTCTGGGCCCCTGCCCTTTCCTCTCTGCAACCCAGCCATGCAAGTCACATTTGCCAACCTTGTCCCTTCCCCTTGCCCTGTCCAGCTCTTTCTGCATGTCCTTCACTATTCCCATCACAAGGATGGGCAAGTATATAGCCAGAGATAAAAAGAGAAGTTGCAATTGATCAAAGTTTGGCCATTTTGTTGGCTGAAACAGCTACATAAAATTTTGAATATCTCAGCTACCAGACTGAGAATTTATTGAGAATAAACCCATTCCCTTTACTTGGATAGGCTCAATATCCCAAAACAAGGCTCGTGCTGATTCTTTCTGGCTCACAGATCTAGCAATGGGATAGTAACCTGACAGTGTATAAGGAAAAATAATTGCCAAACCTTTCCTTCCTATCTTTTCTGGCTCTACAGGACGGACTGGAACAAACAGCAGGAAAACTATCGCATCTAGCACGGTTTTAGAGCAAGATCTC